TTTCATAATCATGTAATGTATTGATTTTTGTCTCTTTCAGTTTTCTTAGGAAACTTATTTACCAAACGGCAAAAACTAAGTAAGTCAACATTTTTCTACCAATATCAACTATTTTCAATGTATAATTTATAATAATTGATAAATCATATTATAAAGCATTTCATGACTGTATTTTATATAAAATATATATAATGTTTTATAAATTTCAAATAAAGGTTAAAAACATTTTAACCTAAAACATGACCAGTCACAGTGGCTGAGTAGGAAAATACCATCCATATTCATTTTCACATAAGTATAACCTTTGACCTGTCAACAAAACTTTCCTGGTACATGAAAATAAATTTGTCTAACAATTAATAAATTTTTTGGCCCAAACTGTAGTGACTTGTACAATTCAAAATATATATCTTTCTATGAAAGATTAAATTGAAGCTTTACTTTATCTAGTTGTCATCTATCTTGACTACGATTGAGGAAAGACACAAAGACTCATGGGTAATGGGAGTTACTAAAGTCTCTAACCAATAAAAATGATTGCCTTATGCTTTGTTTTAAATTCAATAAAGTATATATGTTTTTTTGTTCAGATTTCCCACTGGAGTTTTTTTAGATACACAGACAAGTGAAAAGGTGAATATATATTCTGCTTGCAAAGAGCCCTCTAGAGTTTCCTTATGTAACAACATAGTTTCATGTCACTGTGTGTGTTGTGTTAGTACTAATGAATAGCAGTGTGAACAAAATTGTGTTTCTCATAGGTATTATGTGTGTAAGCAAAATTGTGTTTCTCATAGGTATTTTGTGTGTAAGCAAAATTGTGTTTCTCATAGGTATTATGTGTGTGAGCAAAATTGTGTTTCTCATAGGTATTTTGTGTGTAAGCAAAATTGTGTTTCTCATAGGTATTATGTGTGTGAGCAAAATTGTGTTTCTTATAGGTATTTTGTGTGTAAGCAAAATTGTGTTTCTCATAGGTATGTGTGTGAGCAAAATTGTGTTTCTCATAGGTATTATGTGTGTGAGCAAAATTGTGTTTCTCATACTCATAGGTATTATGTGTGTGAGCAAAATTGTGTTTCTCATAGGTATTATGTGTGTGAGCAAAATTGTGTTTCTCATAGGTATTATGTGTGTGAGCTGGTGAAGTCTTCGTACCATGTATGATTGGAGAATCCACACTCATTAACATTATTCACACATGAGATTGCACAGTCATTTTCATACCAAAGTAAAGAATCATCTTGTTCAATGTTGTTGCTGTTAAATATACACTGTGCACTTCATTTTTCATTATGTCTATGCAGTTGTTGTAAAATATAAATATATTACAGTGTATGTAACAGTACATCTGTCTATACATGTATGTACTTGTTGTGATGATAGTTAAAGCCCTCTTTATAAAATTGTAATCAAGCTCATGGACGTTTCTTCACAGATCAGTTTTTTGTTTTTGTTTCAGAAAGTAAAGTACATTGCTGTCGCAAAAGTGAAAGAGGACGAAATAAAGAGAAAAGAGGAGGAGAAACAAAAAGCTGAAATGGTATGGCTTGTTTTGTCTTTAAATAAAAAACATGTGAAAATACAATATGAAGTGCTGTACATGCAAATAGATGTCACATGACCTATCTGCTGCACAGACCTTACATGTTGATATGTGTATTTTTTAAACAAATGCCAGATAAAAAAAAAAAAAATCCAGGTTTATTTCGTGATAGCTCTATGTGAATTCAGCATTCATCTGTTTTGACAAACGCTGCAGTACATGTTACCATGGTTATCTTGAGAATACCACAAAATATATAATTGGTTAGGTTGGCCTCAGCTATGCATATTTGCTTTATGATAAAATCATGTGACATTAAACTGTTTTGATGTGATATTATGCACACCAAACTCACCTGGATAGATGCTCACTTTACTAACACGTCAATTATTATCTCATATTGAAACATTGTTTATACACATTTTTTATGAATACATAGATGTGAGAGATTTGGGGGAATCATTCTTCATGGGGAAATAAATTAAATCTACATAGATTTCCCAACCCTAAATAAATTTTGTTGGGTGACGAAGACTACCTTTGCCTGTTAAACTTCCTTATCCTGGTGGCAAAGAAATATATATAATTATCAGTGTTGGTATAGAAAACAAAAATTAAATGTTATTGCTTATAAAAGGTATGTTCAATACAAGAGATAGAATATAATATTGCCTCCAGGAGAAATAAGTTGAACTCCCACATCAAGAAGTGGGGTAAATTCTTGAAATGTATCATGTAGATCTCTTCACAAAGACCACTGAAATGTCATTTCATTAGTAGTAATTACCAGGCATCTGTATATGTTATGTAAACTTTGAAAGTATGCTCCAATAAAAAAGATGCTTTAAATACAAAAAAAAAAGGGTCATTTATTTGCTTTTCTAATAGATCAACTATTGTACATTATGTTAGCTTATTTTAATATATAATTTGTATAACCCTTAAAGTTCTTTTGCTTTCTAGGATGAGTTGGAGGATGCCGTCGCTTTTAGCAAAGTCATCAAATTAATTTGTGATAGCGGTAAACTGGTTGTGGGACACAATATGTTATTAGATGTTTTGCATATCATACATCAGTTTATTTGTGAGGTTCCAGAGGTCAGTAAAAATTCTCCACCTTGTCTCTAATATCTGGAATTTGTCTGATTCAAGTTATCTTGGTTTATTATACAATTCCATATGTGTAATCAAAGTTAGTTGATCCATGATTTATCGCACTACCTAATCACTGATTTCCTAATATGGTGATCATTTTTTGACAGGAGCTGGATGACTACAAGACAGTGGTCAGGTGTATGTTTCCAAAATTACTAGACACCAAGCTGATGGCCAGCACACAGCCTTTCAAGGTACAATTTATAGATTATACCAGAGGTACATTACTTGGGGTTTGCAACGAGCGTAGCACTGTATGGTGACATCATGTCAAGATTCCATTCAAGTCTCATCTCGTAGATGGCGAGACTGATGCTACGACCTTCTGACATGACATATATCAATGTTCAACGTTTGTAATAAAAAAATAAAACATGTCTCACCACTATCATAATACATCGAAAAGTACAGAAAATATATATTAAAAAAAATGTTTCATTCTATCATTAACTGTGAGTAATATTTTTAAAACAAATTGTATTTCCAGGTCCATGTATCAATAAATTAAAAACACACTATTTATTTTCATTTTTACTTTTTACAAATTTATAGGATTTACTCATTAATACTGCATTGGGTGAGCTTTATCAATCACTTGCTGGCAAACCATTCAAAAGGCCGAATATTGGTAAGTAATATTCTAGCAATGCTTATGTTGTTCTGACAGTTTGGAGATTGAATTGATGGGCACCCCAACAGTTCCACTGGTTATCCACATTGAATGTTTAACATAGCTGCTAATATTTCACCTCTGTGGTCAGTATGTGACTGTGATGTTAACTAATAAATATAGCATGCTGCCCATCAAAATGTCTTATTTTTTGACTAGCCTGTTAATGAAGGGTGAGGTATAGAGAAAACTTCATCTATTGACATTGTTGTTTGTCACAGGGTGCTAGTTGGGTTGACCTCAGGTTTCAAATTGTCCCAAACAAATGACACCCATAACACCCCTGTGAACTGGGTCCTTTAATAATTCGAAACTTAAGACAGTTGTATAATTTATATGCGACATAAAGAACAAGTACGCGCTACACGAGTAAGGTTTAAACAACGTACTTTATTCCACACACCTAAAAGATGGGCAGGAAATGCCTGACCCGTTACAAGGGGTAGTGGGGTACACGTTGTTTTGTTACACAAAAATATAACACTAGAAATATAATTCAGTAATAATATTGTAATATTTCCACACGGGAAAAGGGTAGTGGATTGCGTTATACTATTACGAGGAAATGCCTAAATCGATAATGTAAATTATTGTCTAACATAGAATCTTGCATGCATGCATAAAACTAAGAGACAAACGTACATAACAAACAACGGACGCAAATAATATACTGGCGATCGGACACAGCCCTACCTACATACAGTTTCTTCAAAGTAGATGTAAACGGGTCTTTGCGTGATAAAGGTGCATTTTCCAGCGAGTCTCTGCTAACGGTGCCGACGACGGTAATTACAAACGCAGTCAGAAGCACTGTAGTCGTAGAATACACGCTGCACACTCAGTCGAGCACGATAC